GCTTCTGCTTTTTCAGACTCCGCGCAGTGGCGACAAGCCTTTGATGGAGATTCTGTTACTCCAGGTGCTTGTCCGGTGTGATGTCATCCGGACTGTTATCTTCGCCGGAGACGGGTTGTTTGGTTTGATTCTCCGTGTTGCCGTGGTCGGACGGCAGTTCCATGCCGTGTTCGTTGTCCACTGGCTCACCCTGCTCTATCGCTGGGTCTGTATGACTCCTGTTTCTGCCGAGGCGGGATTTGGAGCGGCGCTTATGCCACCGCTTTGACTGCTTCTTGAGGGAACGATCCTTCGCTGCGTCCTTCCGTTCCTCATCTTCGTTTTCGTTGGGTGTGTCCACCATGTATACATCATATGATGAAGTGGGTGTCTAGTGCCCTGTGGGCAGTGGTTCCTGTTCTTCTCCTGCATCGTCGTACATACCATCGATGTCTTCGGAGTCGAAGTCGAGCATGTTGGTCAAATCGTTGACAGTGGCTACTAAGTGTGTGGTGGGTGAGTGGTTAATTTCTTCATCATCTGCATCCCAATCCTGCCGGACATAGTTCGGCCAGGACTCTCCTGACAAGGAGAGAGACCTTAATGAGTTCAGTATGTCGCCGAAGGGCGAGTGCTGAAAGATATCCGCGGAGGTGAACTCCATGATCGGCGCCCAGTCGGATTCGATAGGCACGGGCGCAGGCGGTTCGGAGTCCGTGGCCGGGGAAGAATCCGGCCGTTTGGCGTCACGGCTCTCGTGAAGGGTAAGGTCGATACTCGGCTCGATCGCCGCTAAGAATGCGGCCTCCGTGGCGGGGTCTATCCACCCGTCCATGGATGGCACAATTCGCTCCGAATTGAGGGTCGGAGCGGTTGCCAGTGCGGTCTCCTGAACACTGTCCGATGGTAGAGCTAAATCATGCTCATCGTGACCGTGCAGCACACTCGGCAGGGGCTCGAATCCGTCGAAGATCAAGTCTCCGCGGATGTCGGCCATGTAGTTTAAGTTTCCAAACCTCACCTGGTGGCCAGGGGCGTAACTCTCGATCTGCTCCAGATGGCCAAGCGAGTTGGCCCGCAGTGCGAAGCCACCGAATACAAAGATCTGTCCGGGGAGAAAAGTCTCACCCTGGACTGCATCGCTATCGATGATCGAAGGAGCCATCAAGCCTAACGATGACGACACAGAGGAACTCTCAATGAAAGCACCAATGTCGGTGTCAAAACCGGCGGATCTCGGGTAGGGGGTCCCGAACTGTGCGTTTAAGTAGATGGTAACAGGAGACGGGGGACACGATGTTTTTACCCAGGTTCGGGCCCTCTCGATGGAGGTAAAACCCTACTCCTGCTTGATTGATCTTGATGATATGAGTATTACAAGAGTTGATCTACCACGAGATCGTAGAGGCTAAACCCTAGAAGCTAGCCTATGGTATGATTGTTGTTCTTGGTCCTACGGACTAAACCCTCCGGTTTATATAGACACCAGAGGGGGCTAGGGTTACACAGAGTCGGTTACAAGGAAGGAGATCTACATATCCGTATTGCCAAGCTTCCCTTCCACGCCAAGGAGAGTCCCATCCAGACACGGGACGAAGTCTTCAATCTTGTATCTTCATAGTCCAACAGTCCGGCCAAAGGATATAGTCCGGCTGTCCGGAAACCCCCTAATCCAGGACTCCCTCAGTAGGGCTTCGACCCAATAGGAAGAGGGCATGGAAGACTGTATGAGGAGGGTGTGTATGATATCGTTGATGGTACGAAGGGAGCGCTCGGCCTTGCCGTCTGAGGTAGGTGATGTCCACAAATCACAATGTAACAACTCAAAGGGAAAAGAGTACGGGTAGAAGACATGCCAAAAAGCAGGCGCACATGTTTGCCCATTTGACACGCATGACACAGAGAGGGATCATGGCTATCACGATCATATGGAAGCTGGAACTCGCGAAGAAGAGTGGTCGTCGTGCCGCTGTGAGGGTGACCGAGCCGACGGTGCCATAAGCCCACAGAAGCAAGCATGGCATGAGATGAGGAGGATGACGCGCCGTCGACTGTGTACAAGTCACCAGAACTATTGAACCGAGCGATCTCCATCTTGGTTTGAAGGTCCTTCACAGATAACCCAAGCGGATCAAATTCAACAGAAACTTGATTATCGATGGTAAAACGACGAACAGAGATGAGGTTTTTAGAGCAGGTGCAACAAGAATTTCACTAAGCAAGAGAGGCTGACGGGAAAAGGGAAGAGTAGTGGCGCCTACACAAGTAACTGGAACAGAAGAACTATCGCCTATAGTTATGGATGGAAATAAGATGGAGGGATGGAGAGAGGTGAGCGTACTAGCAGATGCAGACATATGCAAGGAAGCACCAGAATCGAAAATCCATTCGTTACCTGCGTCCTGAGTGGTAAGTGAGTTCGTGGCGGCGATGAAGGCGGCCTGGTCCCAAGCCAGAGTGGTGGCAGTCGTTGTAGGCGTAGCAAACGAAGGCGGCGAGGCAGAAGAGGACGCCGACGATGCAGCGTGATCCCAGCCCGGTGGTGGAGCGCCGTAGGGGTACATGGAGTAGGCCGTGGGAGCAGCGGCGACTTGATACAGAGGCGCGTAGGCGGTGTAGGCAGCCGGTGGAGGACGGGAACCCAGGAGACCGAGTGCACCAACTGCAGGGCGAAGACCGGGCGCCCATGCGCCGCTGTAAGCCGGCGGGACACCGTATGGTGAGGGCGCGGACCAAGGCATGGGCCAGGCCTGCACTAAGCCCATCCATGGATCATGGGAGGGGCGCCATGCAGAAGGATCCGGGTTGGAGGGTGCCACCGGATGTGCAGGAGCCGGCGATGGTGAGGCCGGCGCTGGAGCAGATGAGGAAGACGTGCCGCCGTGCTTGGGCGGCCGGTAGATCGGGTTCTTGCCCTTGTAGTTCGGGCTGGAACGCCAGCCCGGTGGTGGCTGAGACGGGGGCGGCGGCGGTGGAGCAGCAGCCGGAGCGGGCGGAGTGGGAGCGGGACGAGGCGCCGCGTGGAATAGGCGCGGTGTGTTGGCCTTGTGCTGCTGATTTTGCTCCTCCATCTGCAGCATGGAGCGGGCCTCCGCCGGTGTTGGCAGAGGACGGAGGAGCGGGATGTGCGTCGCCTGTTGAGCGAAGCGATCGTCGAGGCCGCCCATCAGCGCGTGAAGGAGAGAGCGGTCAGCAACAACCTCGCCAAGCTCGCGCAGCTCGTCGCCGATGGCCTTGATGCGCTGACAGAAAACACCAACGGGGCGGTCGCCCTGCGTGATGGTGCGCAGCTCCGTGTTGAGGGCAGAGGCGCGAGCGTCGCGGTTGTCCTGGAACAGCCGGTGAAGCTCGATCCAAATGTCGCGGGCAGAGGTGCCGTCGGTGACCACGAGGTTAAAAAGCTCCATGGAGATGCAGGTGTACAACCACTGGATGATAGCAAGATCGTCCTTGAGCCAGCGCGGGTCATGAGGAGCCTGCGGGACGTCGCCGGAGATATGGTGGAGAAGCGCGCAGCGGCCGAGGTGGATCTCAAAAAGATGTCGCCAGTGGTAGTAGTTATGGCTGTGGGGGTCTAGGAGGATGGGGATGAAAGGGGTAATGTCCGTAATGGTGTCACTAAAGGAAAGAGTAGGGAGAGGCGGCGGCGGCGTACCGCCGGGGAGTGGGAGAGGTGGAGAGGGCTGTGGCCGCCGGAGGTAGGCAGAGGAGGAATTGGCGGGCCGCCGCTGTTGGGTAGTTAATCGCCGGGGTTCGTCATGGCGAACGTGGGCGTGCGGAAGGGGATCGAGTATCTGATACCATGTAAAACTATTGGAATGGTTTTCTCATTGCATTACAAAGGTACAGAGGAGAGTACATATAGTTTGCCGAGCACGGCTGTGACCAGAACGTGGGTTGGATCGTGCGGTGATCGTGGGCATGCAGCCTTGACGAAGTCCACTGTCTAACATTCAGAAACTTTCCCATGCATGCTCGGATGCTCTGCTGCCTGCACAACGTCTGTCTAGACAAAATATACAGTGACATCCATGTGCAAAGGATAGAACATCAGGCGATACAACACAAACTCGCATATATAGGAATTAATGTAGCGGAATACAAACATCTCGACCGTCCTTCTGAGAATTGCAAATAGTACAAGGAATAAATATTCAGTTGAATATAAATAAGAGCAAATCAGTTTGATGTAAAAAGCACACATACATACAACATATAATCTCTGGCTAGTCAAGTTGGGAGTGAGTAACAAGTGCCAACTCCTTCCCACCATCAAGCCTTATTACAGTACAGGAGAAAACCAAGCAAAGCGTACGTGATCATGCATCATCTTAGAGACAGAGGAGAAACAGTTTGACGAGATAACTCGGAGATAGCACAAAGCAAAGCGATAGCTCGATATTCCTGGCGGGAATAAAATGCACTAATCCATTGCCATCAGCTACAACGCAGCATAAAGGTTGGTGACACCTCAGTGTTCCTCCACGCATCTCATCTTCTTGCTCCAAGGAACAGAATCGGCTTCCAGTCCCTTCCCTGAAAATCAGTGTCTATGAGAATAGTTGAACTCACAAAATTACTCGTTCGCCAACTAATCAAACAACGCCAACATATATATAATTAAACTACTTTACTTGAAGCTATATATATGCACCTCAAATCATATTGGACACTCCACCTAGACATATGCAGAAACTTGTTTAATCACCATTCATATGGGAAATCATAACAACTCAAATGTTCAGAGAAATGTCGGTTAGACCTCCGAATTTTCAATTTAAATGAAGCATCTCCAGTTTTTGAGTCAGCATAGGAAAGAACCCAAAAAAGGTCTTGCTAGAACCCAAAAAAGAAGGTACAGGAAAGTAGTAAATAAAAGGTACGGCATTAGGAATGTTACAACCCAAACTACGGACATCACCCAGTAGTTACGAGGAAAGAGATAACAGACAGACCAGCTGGAGATTGGAGGTGGAAATTTGAACGTACCAGCTGCTGTTCGAGGCTGTTACCGAGGATTATCATACATCGATTGTAATGTGAGCATGGTTGGGATGCATGCTGATAGCGCTCCTGATGGCTGACTCCGCGCTTCTCTTTTCAGATTCAGTACTACTCCGGAATCTTACACCGATTCTTTCAAGCGCTAACAAGTGCTCGATACCTGTAGGTGTGGCGCTCTCGTCCTTCATCCATGATAGATCGAGTCTCTGGAGCTTAGGCATTGCCCCAGCTTGGAAGATTAGTTGTGGCATGATACCCCCACTGATATCAAACCTTTTTAGGATTGGGAATGCTGTCCCATAGATGGCAATTGTTTCTTCCAGGGCTCTACTAAATTTTAATTCCACGTCGATAAGGGATGGTAACTCCGCAAGAATACCAACACCATCCTTGTCCAGTGTCCTAACAGTGAGATCCAAGGACCGGAGGTTATGGAGTTCCTTGATCCAGATAGGGACCCTGAAGCATCGAAACACGTAGAGTGTAACGAGGTTGGGGGGAGGAGACGACAAGGTTACTGTCTCAGGTATAAAAGAAACAGAAGGTGTGAATATGTGCAGCCACTCGAGGTTACAAAGTTTTCCCAAAGAAGAGTTTAGAGCATCTATGACCACATCTTCAGAAAAACCAGTTCCGAGACATAGAATACTCAGATTGGTGAGCTCTCCAAGGCCCTTGACACTGTCAAGTGAGGCGCACAGTGTGTGAAAATTATGCAGCTGTTGTAGGGATGTCATTTTACCAATGCCCTCCGGCAGCCTTTCAACGTTTGGAGCATTTAGAAACAACAAGTGCGGCAGGTGGAAAATATCAGTTGGGATACAGGACCCATCTATATCAAATGTTACCAACTTTTGTAGCCCTCTAATCTGCGTTGGTAGCTGGCACTTACCACAGCCGCGAATCCGTATATGTCGCAGCTGATATAACTCACACAATCTTGTCAGGTCAATTTTCCGGTTGTCATCAGCAGAAAAAGATGTAAAGTCAGTAATAAAAACTCGAAGATACTTGAACTCTGCCAGAGAAGGTATGTGCATGGAGCCTCTGTAGTTTGCAAACGATCTCACTTCTGACATATTGACGACCCCTGGCAATGTTGCACCATCCAAGCTGAAGAGCATCCGACGGGGCTTTTGAAGCTGTCTTGCAACGGAATCTGGGTTATCTACTACAGTGATAAAGTTCTCTTCTGCAGACTTGTACAAGATAAGATCCAACAACATATCATGCACTTTGCAAGTTAACACTGTCCCATCCGTTTTAATTTCTACAGGTTGAATAAGGCTCCTGTTGATAAGCTCATTGAAATAGCTTATTGCAGTCTGTTCTAGGCTTTGTCCATGTGCTTTACTAACAAAGCCTTCTGAAATCCATAGTCTTACCAATTCATACTTCAGTATTTCAGAGTCCTCTGGAAACATACCAAGATACAAGAAGCATGTCTTGAGGTGGTGAGGAAGATTTTTGTAGCTAAGGTTCAAGATCTGTCTAATTGCTTCCAAGGTGAGATTTGTGCCCAAAACTGACCCCAAAGAATTCTGTACATGTTCCCATCTCTCCTTTTGGTTGGAACTTCCACTTGCTAATAGGCTAGATATGCTAATGATTGCAAGTGGCAATCCACCACATTTCTTGAGAATGTCAACTGAAACATGTCTGAGTTGAACTGGACAAGCTTCTTCAGAGAAAAATATCCTATCAAAAAACAATTTCCTTGAGTCTTCTCCACTAAGAGGTTTCATTTCTAGAATGTGCTCGTGGTGACCGAAACAACATGCCTCAGCCACAATCCTGATTCTTGTAGTTACTATTAATCTACTACCAAGATTATTTTCTGGGGGTAAATAGGAAGTTAGAGTTATGGAGACAAACCTTGGAATCGAAAGGGTTTAGGCTTAGTAGAACTAAAACCGAGTACATGATGTGCGGTTTCAGTACTACTAGCTGTGAGGAGGAGGAGGTTAGCCTTGATGGCCAGGTGGTACCTCGGAAGGACACCTTTCGGTATTTGGGGTCAATGTTGCAGGAGGATGGGGGTATTGATGAAGATGTGAACCATCGAATCAAAGCCGGATGGATGAAGTGGCGCCAAGCTTCTAGCATTCTCTGTGACAAGAGAGTGCCACAAAAGCTAAAAGGCAAGTTCTACAGGACGGCGGTTCGACCCGCAATGTTGTATGGCGCGGAGTGTTGGCCGACTAAAAGGTGACATGTTCAACAGTTAGGTGTGGCGGAGATGCGTATGTTGAGATGGATGTGTGGCCACACGAGGAAGGATCGAGTCCGGAATGATGATATACGAGATAGAGTTGGGGTAGCACCAATTGAGGAGAAGCTTGTCCAACATCGTTTGAGATGGTTTGGGCATATTCAGCGCAGGCCTCCAGAAGCTCCAGTGCATAGCGGACGGCTAAAGCGTGCGGAGAATGTCAAGAGAGGGCGGGGTCGACCGATTTTGACATGGGAGGAGTCCGTTAAGAGAGACCTGAAGGATTGGAGTATCGACAAAGAGCTAGCTATGGACAGGGGTGCGTGGAAGCTTGCTATCCATGTGCCAGAGCCATGAGTTGGTTGCGAGATCTTATGGGTTTCACCTCTAGCCTACCCCAACTTGTTTGGGACTAAAGGCTTTGTTGTTGTTGTTGTTGCACATTTAATAATACGCCATGCCGATACATCCCATAAATCATCGATGATAACCAAATATCTGCAACATAATCAATAAAGTGATAAGTAAAATAATAAAAAACTATCAAATTATTTCCAAAGGTTCGAGGCAGACGAAAAACATTTTTCATCCAGTTAAATACTAATTAACATATAGAAGAACATAACAATTCACAATATTAGTTGATCTTTAATTTTTTATAGCATGGTTTAACTGTTTAAGCAAATACTCCCTCTGTAAAGAAATATAAGATCATTTAGATCACTAAAATGATCTAATGATCTTATATTTCTTTACAGAGGGAGCATGTACCAAGTCAAACTGTCACAATTTTCCTATTTATTCCACCTCTCCTCGTGTGGTGCTCGGCATTCATTTCCCCCAAGTGAATGAAAAATCAGGGCCAAATTAGCTGAAAGTTAGTGGGTGACTATTTTTTGCAGTGTTCTGATGAATGGAAACTATTTTTTGTTCGTGAATTTGCTTGGTTTTTAGGTAGTCATTTTTTGGGATGAAAACTATTGCACAGTTATGTTACTTGTCTCTCAAATTATTCATCTTCATGATGCTATGGAACCATAGCCTCATGGTCTTAGTTTAGTCTCATGTTTCATATATGATTTCCTGCCATGTCAGCAATCTATTTGTTAATATTTTTCATGGTACAACTCATTCATATGTAGCAGTTTGCAGAGTCACAACACGTGATGAAGGGAGAGCAGTAGACTTTGCTAGACACATATAGTGCACATTTACTTTATTTAATCAAATATTACTTATCTTAGAAAAAAATAAGCCCCATTAATTAGCTTGTATTAGTTAGCAAATGAAATTTAGATATAAATCTTGTGTAAACTGAAAGTACTGTGCAAACTTTTAATATATAAATGTTTTCATGCTCAACCCCAAGTAACTCATGGAACAAGTGAAGATCTCCATGTTAGTATTTACGTTTTCCGTTTTCATATATATTAGGATCATCTGGTGATCTTCTTTGGGGCTATGTACCATGTGCTTCGTATTATTGTCCTTTGTTCTTTGATGGTACTAGATATATATTGGGCATATATCCTCTAAAGCTTTAACTCGCAAAATAACCCCTTTTTTTTCTTCATTTTCATGTTTGTAGGATCATCTAGTGACCGTCTTGTCTATGTTTTAGGTCGTAAATCATATCTTTTTTGTAATGTTCATGAGGGCCATGCTTTGCAACTGGTGTAATATATTATAGGGCTGAGAGGAATGTGCCCTCTGACTAGCTATTGAACCGGTACTCTGGAGTGAAATGACATAATCATATTTAATTGACTTCTCTATAATTATAGGCAATAATGTGAAAGCATATTTCGGAAAAAGCAGCCTGTCAAATATTTTTATGTTGTTGATTATCTGAAAAATCTTTGACAAAGAGAAGAGGATTCAGTATGCATCTTCAAAAAAAACGATCTTATAAGTGATTACTAGTAAATCCGTGATGATCTACTATATATAACTTAAGAGTGCTTCCTTGGTTACTAGGTATAGTTGTGACGACACAAGTGACAACAGTCTTTTATAGTGATTTTTAAAGACGCATGTACCTAGTACTTTGAGAAGACTTCAAGACTCCATACCTAGTGCTTTATATTATTGTCCTTTGTTCTTTGGTGGCACTAGATATATGTTGGTGGCAATACATATACGGGCATAGTACAAAGTTCACTCTGTTTAATCAGATTTGACTTACATTAGAACACAATAAGCTACATAAGTCAGCTGGTATTGGTTTAACTCTATTTAATCAAATTTGACTTACATGGGAATGCAGTTTGTACTAAATCTTGTTTACACTGGAACTACTTCACAATTTTTTCATTGAACTGTCCTCAAGTCCATCCCATAAAAAACTCAAAGCATCCCATGGCCGTATTAGAATCATCTAGTGATTTCCTCTAAATCTTGAACTCTGAAAATAGTCCCTTTTTTCAACTTAGATAAGGCTGTTGCTTTGTATAACAAACTTACGAATCCGCACTCCAAAGTCGGGAAGAGCCAAACATTACTTCCACTTTCTATAATAGAGAAAAGAGCTGTACATAAAGACCGTAATGTATGCTAATATTCATTAACAAAGATTCACCCCTTATGAATCTTCAAGAAAATTTAAGTACCAGAGGCGCATGAGAATAGCTAGCAACAATATAGAAAGTTAGAATCAGTACCTCTTGTTTTTTAGATTTTCTCTGACTTGGTCGAGAAGAACATTTAACTCACAGTCATGAAAAGATTGTTGACAACCAAGTTGGGTTGACAAACTATGCAGAAGTTTTGGAATATTTGGCTTTTGAGACACTGGCACAAATGCACCACAGTGAAATTCCCCCTTCAGCTTATGGTATACCTCCTTGGCGAGTGTCGTTTTACCTAAACCTCCAAATCCAACAATTAATACAACCTTTAACTGCTTCTCCTCATCTTTTAGCCAACTGACAACCTCATTGGTTGGGCCGTCCATACCAACAAGTTTAGCTGCATCCTCATAGAGAGCGACAACCCGTTGGTCAACAGCCACATTGCACGATGTGGGGACATCGACCTTATACCTCTCACGACGTTCACTTGTTTCACGCACGATTTTCTTGATGTCCTCGATCTGGCCAGCAATCTGATGACGGGCCCTTGAAGTTCTCAGACGTTGAATAGTGTCGTGGACAAACCCAGATTTTTTCTTCTTCTCCCCAATTTTGCACATGAAGTCATCGATAATATCCTCAATGTCATAAGACATCTCCCTGACCGCGTCCCTCCACCTTGCAGTCTGTATATCAAGCTCGTCCACATCTGCAAGGCGCTCTAGAGCATCCTTCATGCTGCTCAGCTCATCGCTGATGTGCTTCACCTCCTTCCTCAGGTTCTTTAGCTTGGCAAACTCCTCTCCCATCAGGGTGGCCAGCTTACCCAGGAGAGAGTTCATCACCCCGGTAGAAGCGCTCACCATTATTCCAGCCATCTAGTTGAGATATCCGGACAAGGATCTATCTATCTTGGCTCTCTAGTTATGCTTGTGCTGCACCTGAAACATGTAACAACCCGCTGAATGAATGGAGTTTCAGTAGCAAAAAGGCCAAGAAACAAATGGGGCCAGGGACTTCAACAGACCATCCGTACCAATAACAGCAGATTTTCATTTCAAACGATTTTCAGAGTAGAAGCATAACGCTGTAAGATTCAGTACCTGAGCTGGAAGAGTGACTGAAACAGCTTCCATTGCGGCCGTTACTCCAGAAGTAGAAACATGCTACATGCAGCCGTGGCGGCGCCGGTGCTCCTCTTGGATCCAACTGAAATGATGGACCGTTAGAAAATCCAGAGTTAATTAACTTCAGTTATTGTCGTCTAGATCCACCATTTTTCAGAAAGAAGTGAAATAAAATCCAGATCCACCGCTAGATCCAAAGCTCCAAACTCCAGATCTGCCCCAAGATCCAAAGCTAGTCAAATTGCACTAAGACTATATATAAAATATACACATCCGAAGCCGGTCAACTTATAAAACTAGAAGAGGCGACTGGACTGGAGACAGGGGCACAAACCTTATTTAGCAGGCAGGTGAAGCAACGAAGCAGCAGCAGGCTTTCAACGGGGAGGAAATGGAAGAAGAGCAGCCGACGTAGGTGCAGCAGCAGCAGCCAGCGATGGTGGGGAAGCAGCAGCTGCAGCAGCGTGGATCGACGGAGCGGAGCCGCTGGTTGAGATGGGGAGAGAAAGACCAACGCGGAGAAGGAACAAGAGAGGCGAGGCAGACTCAATCAGTGGGGGGTGAGGTCAAGGTCTCCGTCTTGCTGCTGCATTCATTTTCTCTCTTCTGTTGATGTCCTCTCATTCTCTCATACTCCGAGCAAAGCCTTTCTACTCTGCTACGTAGTTTCTTCAATTCATAACCCGGGGAAGCCTGCCCAGTTTGCTTGTTAGTTTCTTCAACCCAAGACACGGAAAATTTTGGTTCAGATCCCACCCATGGAATGATTGAGATGACGTGTGCACTGTTTCTATGTATTGAGGAGTATAGTTGCTAAGCTATTTAATGTGCTTAGCACCTTATCTAAGCACCCATGCGTTGGCAGCAGCCGATCAGTAACAACAGAGGTTGTCCCAAAGCGCCCAACTTGCACGCACAAACAGCGAGCTCTGTTGTGCAAATGACGCCCGAGTGCAATGGAATAAGAAAAAAAGACAGGGTCGATAGCAAAAAACAGTGCACACGTCATCTCAATCATTCCAAGTGCAGTTGTGTAAAAGCAAAGCATGCGCCTCAATCATTCCACGGCCACTTGATGCAAAACACAGTGAAAGAATTTTTTTACCGCTACCCAAATCTACGCTGTTTACTTATTTTCTTGCTAAATTTGCCCGTTTAATTAGAGGAATGGCACTTTGCCATCCGCGATAACATTGGCACTTCGTCTGCGTGCGTAATATATGCCCGTTTCACCCTTCGTACTACTACCACGGCTTTTTCGATAAAGGATGAATTTTATTCATTCAAAATAAAGTATCAAAATGATACAAACACGGTGAGCATACACCCGGCCTCTGCATAATTAGCATGCACACAGTCAACACAACACACACAATAAAAACACGCCGGCAACTAGCAAACTCATATAAGACTAAAGCTGTGCCTAAGCGATAAAAAAAACCCCAAAATGATCAAATCCTCTCTCGACAAACTACAACAATGGCCATATTCGCACCAACCATCTCATGATACCACAAGGACAACAAGGTTCTTCAACAGTAACGCCTTTAGGAAGGGAGCGACGCTCAAACGCCGTCGTCACTGGATCCAACCACCAAAGTCAGATTCTAAGTTTTCACTCTGAAGAACCGATGCAAGCATATCCGAGCAATGCCTTCAACAAGGTAACAATGCAAAAAACATCGTCACTGCCAGGTACTCCCTCCGTCCAGAAATACTTGTCTGGAGAATGGATATATCTAGATGTATTTTAGTTCTAGATACATCCATTTGTACCCATTTCTACGACAAGTATTTTCAGACAGAGGGAGTATAACCAACTCAGGTCAAACCTAGGTTTTCACCCCGGAGCTCGAGACCAGGTACTCACCACCATCGAAATCAATCATGTATTGTCGCCACCACTTTTCCATGATTCCAGCAGCTACCTGCGGTGGGCAAGGAACCGACCGTTTTCGCCGCACAACCATAACCTCTGCGTCAAGTCATTGTCCATAGCTTGCATCTCAACGTCGTAGGCAACTACCGGATATGAAGAGAGAAACCCTCACAAAGATCTTTCGGTGGCTACTGCAATCCGCGGCAAGGCCGTCGGTGCATGCCGAAGTGCTCACCACACGAACCAACACTGACGGCGGAGCAAACCAACGCCGACTGCTACCTTCCTGGAGAGGGCCCTGCCAAGGCACATCGCCTTAGGGTCCGACATGACTGGATCTGAGCCGGGGCGCCATAGCCCGCAGCACCAATGGCCCCTGGCCTACCATCATGTATGCACCAGCAAGCAGCGCCTCAGCCGCCAGCAACAATGTGCGCCAAGAATTGGATGGAAAACACGCCAGATCTGATGGGCAGGGGCCGCCGTGTTCAGGATCAGAGCGGATCCTCTTGGGCAGATGCATCTTTCCGCACAAGCAGCCATCCGCAGCCGTGCAAGAGGCGGCACATGGACGTGCACATAAGCAAGCCAAGGGGCCGGCCGTGGATGCGTCGTCGTAGAGCAACTCATGCCTGCGCAGAAGCATTATCGGATCTGATCCGAGGGGAAAGCCCCAGCACCACGCACGATTCCTTACACAGAGGCCAGGAGAGACACGGACGGGGGCTAAGGGATTTAGGGATGGGGTGGCCTCCGGTGTCGCCCCAGCGGCCCAGCCGAGCAACACGGGAGGCAGTTGTCATAAAAAAGACCAGTTATTGCACTATTTGCATCGAATAATAAAAAAGACCAGTTATTAGGCATGGGCTCGTTTGTGCACAAGCTCTAAATGTGTCTTTTTTCAAGATAAATGTGTTTCATTTTTTTGCGGGGGGGAAAAGCAAATGTGTTTCATTTAAACGCCGACATGTGAGTTTTTGGGCGCTAAGAGCGTATCTAACGCCAACCTTCAAACCGTCTGGACCGTGTGGCCGGACGTGTTGCGACATCCAGCGCAGGTCTGTATTGATCCGTAGGCCGGTCCGGACGTATTTTCTCTGGCAAACCGGATACAATGCTTTACGGGCGTCCGAACAGTACCACTCTGGCCCACCCAAAACCCCTCTTTCCTCGCCCGTGCGTGTTCCCACTCAGCGCCGGTTGCACGCGTTCATGCCGCTGTAGAGCGGTCGCGATCTCTCACTACCTCCACCATTGAAGTGGAGCGCCGGCCAAGAGGCGCTGCCCACTGCACACCCTGCTTAACACACCTCGTCGCATTCAAACAGTTGCAGATTGCATGCCCGCCTTCCTTCATTAAACCCGGGCATGTGCCGAGATACCTACTCCGACCATTTCCGTTCACGAGCCAGCCAGCATTAAACACAACATCAGTTGGCTCCTCGTATAATCTAGCTTTACTGTGCACCTGACACAGGGCTTATATGATAAAACTCTTTATTTATTAAATTATAAGGTATACAAGTGAGAAACTCAAATCAAAATTAAATCTAGAATAGTAAAAATATTAAACCAAAATTTTTAGTTTAGTTTTAGTTTTTTGTTTAAGTAAAAAAATGAAGTATTTTCTTAAGAAAATTATTAAAAATTCAAAATTTTAAAAATATTTTATTTTGTAAATGTATTTTAAATATGTTTGCCTTATTTTTTAAAAAGAAAATCAGTATGTATTTTTTAAATGGTTTTTTTAGAAAAGGAGGATGACCCCCGGCCTCTGCATCTGGAAGATGCATGCGGCCACTTTATTGATTATTCTCGAGGACGTTACAAAGTATTACAACAATATGTCTGAAACCGCCATATTGGCAAACATCTGCCGCTACTCTTATCCATATGATGAAGGGGTGCTAGCTGGGCCACTACCCAAACCACTCACCTAAGCCTAACATCAAAAGCCGGAAGCCCCAGCCGAGCCACATACCGGGTCTGGGGCACAAACCGGTCTGACGCACTCGCATGTGTCGTCGCCGCCATCTTCCACAGGTCCATCTTCAAAGCAGATATTGAGGTTTCTACCTTGTCTGGCCACTCCGCCATCGACGTCACCATGACGCCAGACAGCTACCTCTTCCTACGCGAGTCCATCACCGCACATCGGACGCCGAGTCTCCACAGCGCATGCCGCCGATATCCGCCGCCCTCAATGTGTGGGATGAAGCACCGCTCCACCATCCCTCCAGCCAGCACTTGCTCCAAAACGATGCCCCCAAGAGGGAAAGCGATAAACGCCATCATCGTCCGATCCAAAAGACCCGGATCTAGGGTTTCCCCCGGAGCATCCCGAGCCTGATGATGCAAACTGCAACGACGATGCCCCGACAAGGGAACGACATCTAAGACGACTCCACCGTCCGCCATGACCGTAGATCGGCAGTTGCTCCACCAGACGTGCGCCGCCAGCGTCGCTGGTCCCTTCAACCGGAATAAACTCCAAAACGATGCCCTGAAGAGGGACTACGACGCAAAAGCACCTCCATCGCTCGATCCCAAGGAGATCTAGGGTTTCCCCCGGAGTTGCCCGCGCTGTTAAGGACCAGACAAGGGTAGAAACTCCAACCAGTATATGTGTTTTTTTCCTTTGATCTTTCCACACAGTAGTATATGTGACTTTGTAGCTTAGAATTGTGTGCACAAATCTAAATCAGTTCATCCATCCCCATAACCTGTAAAACCTGCACATGATGCAAAAAAAGAAGCTTGAGAAAAAATGAACCAACTCTGACTTGTATTTGTGCAACATAACCAATACAAGTGTGCAATTGACAACCCTCCCGTATCCATCTACTTGTGGGGTTCAGTAGTTGGCATCTTC